ATTTGAATCACTACGATTTCGGAACTTCAACGAGGAGCGTTATGAAGAGGCCCGAGTAGACGACATCAATTGACTAGAAGAAGCCCGTGAAGCAGCTTTAATTCAGTCGACTCGGTATTTGCAAGTGTTGCGCCGTTATCATAATCGGAATGTTCGATCGCGAGCCTTTTTAGTCGGCGACCTAGTTCTGAGGAAAATTCAAGCCACACAGGATCGGCATAAATTATCTCCCTTATGGGAAGGACCGTTCATAATTGTCGATGTCACTCGGCCAGGTTCTTATCAACTCAAGCGCGAAGATGGTACTCTCATCAACAATTCTTGGAATATTGAACACCTTCGTCGATTTTATTCTTAGGTATTTCGTTTGTATCTTTCCTCTTTGACTGCTAACTTCAAGTTTTTCCTTGAAGTTTTTCAGTCGGGGGGCTACTATGATAATAATGGAGTGTAATTTTTATCAATTCAATTTGCTTACTTGATTTATCATTGCCCTGTTTGGTCTTTCGACTAAGTCAATGAGGACTGAAGGTTTTTAATAGCTTTTGCGGGTTTTAGGCTCAATAAGGCTTGACAAAGGCTTTTAAGAAATCAGAAGCTAAGTATGGAACACCAAGCATAGCATAAATTCGTCAGTATTGTACAAATTGAGCCTCCATCATCATTAATCATCAAAATCATTGTTATATCAATCAGTATCAGTTTTTTCATCATCAGAATTATCAGACCCAGTCGGCCGAAGGTCGACATCTTGGAATCTCTCAACCACGTCAGCAACAATCTTGTCAGCGGCTTTTTGCGCATCATTGATGAGGTCAAGAGCAGCTTCTTCGCTCGTCCCGTCTGCAAAGCCATCAATGGCATCAATGTCAACTCTTGGATAAAGGGATTTGGTCATCGCCAACACCAGACTTGCTCCCATACTTCCAGCTTCTTTGATGTTCTTGAAGTAAGTATCCGGAGCGACTCTCAGCTTGTCGAAGATTTCGGCAGCATCAAGTGTACTTGGACCGGCGTTATTGAAGAACATGGCTTGGATGAGTGGAGTAGCGGCATTAGCGACTTTGTCCCTGGCCCCTTCAAGCCTATTGATCTTGTCAACTAAGACATCAAACTGTGCCTGTGACTTGATCTTGTGGTCTGCATCAACAGATTCACATTAACGAATCAGCATATAGAAGATAATGGCTTTTGAGGTATTGATTTTTGGTACCTTCAACCTCCTTTAAAGCTGAGTCCCTCTGTCTTGCCAGTTCTGCCTTATCATTTTCCAGAGTTTGAATCTGCTTCTCCAGTTGAGATATCTTGGCAGCTTGCACTACATTGACTCTGGTTAATCAAGATTACAAAGATAACAACATAAGTTAGTTGGGCAGAGTTTGTGTGTACCTTTTGATGAGCCGCTCAGTTCAAAATTGGATTCCTGGAGCTCAGCAATCCGATCCCTCAGATCATGTTCATTCTTCCTGGCAAGCTCTTTTGTCTCGTGCAGCTGATTCCTGGTGGCTTCGAGGGTCCCAAGATGAGGGACTAACCTCTCTAAGGTCGCCGTTTTGGCTTCGTTCCTAAGATGAATCCTCTGCAAGACAGTTTAATTAGCGCCTGGACTAAATGGCAAACGAGATGGTTGAGATCAGGCGCCAAAGAGCTTACATTTACAATGCGGGTGGCTTGGCTGAGCGCCTTTTTCAGCAAGCATACTTCTTCATCTTCTTTTTGCTTATTTATTACGATTCCTTGAGGCTGCATGTTGTCATCCCACCACTTGACCAGAATGGGAGGACGCGAATCCTCAGCTGCTTGTATCCGGAGGATCTCTTCTTCATCACCAATCATTGGCCCTAGTGTATCCATAAATAAAGATGAGGCGATCAAATAAAGTCTGTTGGATCGAAATGATTTCAGATAGTGTGTTTACCTGTGATGATTCCCGGTCGGGGACGAGTAGACTCTTGTGTCTTCACAGGAGATCTGGTTTCTGAGTCATTGCCAGCATCCTTTCCGGGAGGATTGTTTGTTTGAGCTTCAACCTCGGGAATTTTTTGGCTTGGCCCTGCATCCGACTGGTTTCCAGTCGGGGACTCCTGGTTAACTCTGACTCCAGCTTCGGCCGACTAGCTTGCGGTCGTGGGTTCGTTGCTGGGTTTTACATTGTCGCTGGCCTGCGGATTATCACTCGGGTGATCTTTTGCAGTCGGCCCGGTTTCTTTTGAGGTGTCTGTTTCCATGTTAGTCGGGTCAGAGTCTTTCTCAGAAGGATCTATGTCGGATGGTTTCCTACAAGTTTTGCCATCGGTGTTATCTTCATGATGGGAGAATATTAATACAAGGAAGGTTGTTATATGATTTGTACCTGGAAGACTTTCTGATTTTTGGTACAGGATGACTGGAGGTTTTCTTCTTCGGATTAGTTGGCTTCGGAGGTCTTCCGGTCGCTCCTTTATCTCTGAGCTTTCCGGTATCATCGCCTTCGTCGTCACTTAGAACCAGCTTCCTCTTGCGAGAATCTGACTCGCCGACTGGATCAGAAGCACTTGGTTGGGTTTCAGACCGAATTCTTGGTTCTCCGCTTCCCTGACCAGTTTGGCAGCGAGGTGATTGGCGTTGAGCGATTGGGGGATCCGATTTCATCAAAGCAAATTCCTGGGCGTGATATCCTTTATTGTTAACTGATTCAACAAACAGATAAGACCGTATTTTGTGAAAAGTTGAAGTGTTTGATTACATACCGGTGGAGGAGGATTAAATGCATTGAATGGCACGACTAGCAGCAAGTGCGAATAGCTGACGACGATAGCATTTGAGAATATCTTGTACATCCTTTCCTTCATGACCTTAAAGTTAAGAGAGTCCGGATCTTCACGATTTGGATCGTGTTTGCCGTCAAATTCAAAAGCTGTGCGGGATCTTTCTTTGATTGGAGCTAACCGGCTTTTTATGAAGTGCCGAGTGATTTGTTCTCCTTGCAAGCCTTGCTCTTTCAGCTTTATCATGCGCTCCATCAGTTCTACTGCTTGGGCAGCCTCATCCCCTGTAGGCAATGAATTCCATGTGTCTTGGTACACCGGAGGAAGACAAGAGTACTCAGGAAGGACTGGTTCAGGATTTTGAACATAGAACCAGTTGGCGTGCCAGCCTTTGTTCGAGGTCTTGAAGGGCATGGAGAAATATTTTTGGCTTAGTGTTCCCCTGAGTTGAAAACCAACGCCCCCAACAACACATGGTTTGCTCTTGTTTGGCTGAGGTTTGAGGAAGAAGATGCGGCATAACAAGGCGAAATGTGGCCTAATACCTAAAAAGGCTTCGCAGGCATGAATGAAATTGGCGATGTGAACTATGGAGTTTGGGTTCAGATGATGCAGGCTGATTCCATAGAAATTCAGAATTCCCCGAAAAAATCTTGAGGTTGGAAGGGAGAAACCGCCATAGAAGAAATGAGCAAATACCACGATTTCATGCGTATCGGGGGTTGGGAATGCTTCGCCGAATGCCGGTCGCCAACCGATGATCTCCTTCGCTGGAAGAACGCCGTGCGCCAACATCTCCTTCAGATTATCTTCCGTCACATCGGAGGGCGCCCACTGACTCTCAAAGCTTTCTCTTTCTTCCGCCATGAATGTGAACTGGATGGTTTAATTTGGTCCGAGATATGGCTGGAAAGGGATGAGGAATCAGAGCGGTGGACGCGGGGAGAAATTTCGTGAATGGATTGGGGCGGATTGATGAACCCTAGTTTGGCCGGCGCAGTTTTGTACTGTAGCAGGAAATGGGGAAAATGGCGAGAGTCTCGGCGGGGAAGACGAAGAGACGTTTTCTTTCACTTCGGTGTTATTAGGGTATAGGGAGTGCTAACAGGCCTGGGTCTGTACAGTACTTCAGCCCAATATTATTACCAGCGTGGCCCGTTGTGATCCTTAGGGACTTAGGCGCTTTTTGCTTTGGCAGTTTGTGCTCACAATGATGTGGCCCAATGCTGTTAAAATCCTTTTTAATGTGGTTTGATAATTCTTTGGAATTAACACGATGCAAACAAAAGATGTCCGACAGGAAGGTGTTATACTATTTTTGTAAGCCTTATTAGGCTGCAAAAGCTGTTTGGGTTGATTCGAGATGACTTATTTATTAAGAGTCATTCTCTTAGCATGTTATATGCTTAATTTGGTTACGATGAGGGTTATAGCTTAGGCTATTAGACTCGTTGATTACCATGATTTTTATCATGTTTGGTGGATCATTTTAAGAGTTTCTTACTCGTAGTCCTATCAAATGTGTTTATTTTTGGACCTTTTGAGTGTTTATCACTCGGCCCTTTTCGTATTTTTTATCCTTGATACGTTCAAGTTGAGAAACAGTCGGCTGGGTATTTTACTAAGTACCATGCATGCTTCGCTATAAAACCACTCGGTTCTTGACTACATGTTTAGTTTTTCAACTAATCACATAGTCAGGGGCTACACCTAATTAGGTGCATCTACTCGATGCACCATGTTTTATTTTCGCCCTTCGCAGTCTTTGATTTTAGCACTCGGCAAGCTAGAGCAAGTTGAATTGAAGCACTCGGATTACTGTTTTTTGTTTCGAGAAGGCTATTTTGTCAACTGCGAAGGTCTCGGGGGCTACTGTGGAGATTATGGATACCCCATATCTACATGACAGTTATAATTTAGTCGGATATACGGTACCAAATATAGATAGAATATCTTTACGAGGACTCGGGTTAGTTTCTAACTTGTATGTCAAGGAAATACCCGAAATCTTAGTCGGTTACGATTGTATTTTATCTGTGATTCCATATTTTGTTAAGATATGGACTGTACTTTGTAAAGCGGACTCCTTCCCCTATATAAGGAGGTTCCGTGTGCCTCTCGGGGCACGGTTCTTTTTTCCCAGTTTATACAATCAATAACACACTCGGCGGAATCATCCCCGGACAGGAGTAGGGTATTACTTCTTGAATAAGAAGGCCTGAACCTGTATAAAATTCCTTGTCTCCAAACCCATCCACTTTCCAAGCTTGATAGCCACCTCTTTTATTATTGCCGAAATCTTGTTTCGACAAGCAACATCGTTGCACAGACAAATTTCGCATTTCACGCACTCTTCAAAGGTAACAGAACCAATTCGACCCAAAAGGAGAACAAGATTGAACGGTGCATCGTACTTCTGAGATCGGGACGACGGCCTACCTCTGCGTCCCCACGACGCGGCTTGTCGAGCCACGTTGCCGGCGACGACGCTGGCGTCGCCACGTTCTCGACCTGCTTCGCCTCCTCGGCCCTCCTCCGCTTGTTCCACAGGACGGCCGCGCTCGCCGCCACGGCGATGCCGACGCAGAGGAGCAGCAGGTTTAGCAACGTCCTTGCCGCCCACGGGTACACGCGGTTGCTGTTGCCGTCGACGGGGTATATGTACAGGCGCTGCACCGCGCCGACGAGCAAGAGGAAGATGAAGAATGAGGAGGAGACGACGGCGGCGAGCAGACCAGCCGTTGTGGCCGAGCACCGGGGCGATGGGCGCGTCGACGGCGACGGCTTGAACAAGACTCTCTNGGGCACTTTGTGGCGATTGCGACGACATCGCCCGCGGAGGGCACGCTTTCTCGCGTCACGAAGGCCTCGATGCGCAGTTCGAGGCGGGAGATGTCGGAGAACCCACCGGAGGCAGGGACGATGAGGTCCAGCATGGCCAGGTCAGCCGACGTCTTGAACACGGCGATGAGGAGAAGGCTCGGCGTCGCGGCTTCTGCCGCCGTGCCGCTCCGGTGAACGAGCTCGCGTATGACGGAGATGAACGGCGTGATGCCGCCGCCGCCACTGATCATCACCAACGAGTCGTACTGAAGGAAGCTTGCTGGTGTGGCCTGGCTGTAAGGCCCCTCGACCGAGACGTCGAGGTGCCCGGGCTGCGACGGCGGCAGGGACGAGATCGTCTCGTACAGCTTCTCCGTCCATCTTCCTGCTCTCTTGACGACGACGCTTAACCTGTCAGGCTCAAGGCTGCTGCTCGACGTCACCGTGAATGGGTGCCATTGGAGCCGCGAAACGCATGGGACGTTGATGAACACCGTACTCATCGGACTGTGCGTCAAATCTGCAAGTGATCACGACATCAAGTGTCAGAACATGCTTACTTGCACCGTGAACGTGTCGGATATATGTGACACCTACGGGGGCTTTTGCAGAAGTTGAGCTCGACGGCGTCGCACGCTAGGAGGCGGGCGGAGACGAGTCGGACGCGGACGCGGGACTGCAGGAACCGGAGGTAGCGGTCGACCATGAAGAGGAACACGCCAGGCAGGATGGAGCAGAAGAAGGCGACGCCGACGTGGAGCGCGAAGAGCACGAGGAAGAGGGCGTAGAGGTGGTGCGCGTAGAAGAAGAGCTCGAACATCTGGCGCCGGACGCGCGGCAGCGCCGTCACCCACATCACCAGCCCGCTGAGCAGCGCGAGCTCCCCGGGGACGTTTGCAACTTTCGTTCTTGTCCATTTCAGCATCTGGAATCACATAATTGGCCGTTTATTAAGTCCCGACATTGGACATGTCTAGGACGATAGAAGAAATCGTTAGTTTGTATTACCTCGTGGATTTGATCAGTCGATGCCCAGAAGACGATGTAGCAGAGTCCATGAGCTGTGAAGAAGAGCATAACGAGATTGCCCAGCCAGACATGGTACTTGATGCTGGCTTCCGACGTGAGGCCAATGAGCGGCAACAGGGACGAGCCGCGTGCGACTGGAAAGAACAGGAACGCGCAGCAGAAGCTCCCAACGTGGCCAAGCCGCAGCGCTGCTCTGTCCAGCTTCGCCTGCCACCTAAGAACATTTCGCATACTTACAAAAGTTAGCACACAAGTAAATTACAGATCATAGATGAAACATATACGAGTATTATTTTGCTTTTTTTTTTGGACGGAGTTAATGCATGGTTATCGTGAGTTGGTCGACATTTTCTCGACAGGCTTGACATGGATCTTGGAGAAGTCGAGGTTGATGAAGGCGGAGTAGGACCAGACCAGGAGTGCCAGGAACAAGAGAAAGAAGGCGAGTTCTATGCCTGTCACAATTCCCAGTGGACCTCTCACCAGCACAGGTCTCCTCCAGGCCGCCATTCTCGTACAGAATACTCCTCTGCAGGAACAAAATCAAGAGAGGAACACGCAGAAAATTTGCATTAGTACTAGTACATTTGATGCGGAATGTCTGATGAGATTGATCTCCTCTCCCAGTTTAGCCAGAACTGACCGTACCTCTGACTTTGGACCCCAGTACTGTCGCCGCTCCTCTTCAGCAAGTGCAGGTAAATGCACGCAACTACACTGACAAACAGTATTGGCAAAGTCAGTGTAGTTCACGATTCAGACATGCACAGGTATTGGGAACACGTAGATCACGATTCTCGTCCCTGCAAATCCCGAAACGAAGAACACGAAGAGATGATCACGGCGGCAATGCAGATATGCAGTGGAATGGATATACAGCTGAGCTGATAGTACAAGAGATGGGGAAAAAAACCTTGTTTGCCAAAGTAGGTGGAATTTGTGTGGGAGGCGAGCGTCGGCGCCCACGTCGAGCTGAATGTCCTGGTCGGCAACATGACCCACATCATGAGCCACCCAACGAACACGGCGGCGGCCAGGAGAAGCATGGCGCTCCTGGTCGCCGGCGCGCCATTCCTGTCTCGGCCATGCCTAGTGTCCATCGCGTCGATACCCTGCGCTTAACCTGTTAATTAACCGCTGTATCTGGTCAGGATTAGATTGTCACTCACTGGGACACAAGTCACACAAGTAAGGACGTGTGTTGTGCTTATATAGGAAGAACGGACGGAGAGAGTGAGCTGCACTTTTAATGCGAAATGATACCGAGGAGATATCCCTTGCTGTAATGCTGTCATTTGCCATATTTATGAGGTAAGATTTGGTTGTGGAGATGGCAATAATAACTCTTTCGATTCATCAATTGGCATGGACTGACGGGGGTAAAGGGTGTACAGTGTACTAACACACTGGGAAATATTTAACCGAGTGCTGCATGAATATTTTTGGAGGGGCATGAAAAATGCATTTCCGTCGTTTATCTCTGTACGGATATACAGGTTGGATTTCTATCTTTTAACTCGTGAAAAAGAAATCTGCATACTAGAGAAATACTAATTCGATAGGCATAAGATATATGTTTTCATTACACAGTGTCGTTGTTCTAGGCTGTGTGTTTAGATCTAGGGGTGAAAATTTTTACCGCGTCACATTGAATATTCAGATACACATTTGAAGTATTAAACGTAGTCTAATAACAAAACAAATTACGTAATCCGCCTGTAAAGTGCGGGACAAATTTATTAAGCTTAATTAATCCGTCATTAGCAAATGTTTACTGTAGCACCACAATGTCATATCATAGAGCAATTAGGCTTAAAAAATTTGTCTCGCAATTTACACGCAATCTGTGTAATTAGTTTTTCTTTTTATCTATATTTAATACTTAACTAGCGGGGTGACCCGCGCATTTGCGCGGCTAGCACCCAAACAAAATCATATATTTTTCAGTATGATTTTACTTAAAATTTATTAAATAGCTATGTCGTTGTCTTAAGACTTTAAAAGACCAAACCTTATCATCCTCGTATTTCTAATTATATAGTTTTTAAAAGTCACACCAGCTGCTACCTATTACTTTTGTCATACCGTTATTTATTTGCTTGCTTGATTTCTATTTATTCTCCTTGAAACCTTATACTGCCATTATACTCTACGGCCCGTCCACGGTCTTTTCTTTGTATTGTCATTGGGATTTTAAAAATCAAACATAATTATTATTGGGGTTCATTTTTTACTTTATAGAAGTCCCACCAAACCGTCAGCGGTTTTGCTATTGCACACCTTTGTGGCTCACCCGCTGCCTCCCTTCTTTATTGTCACTGAGATTTTAAAATCGAACACGATTATCATAGTTTTTTTTACTTTTTAGAAGTTACAAACCTTTAAAAATTAGTCATTATAGTTTTTAGAGTTTATTGTTCATTATAGTTTTTAGAGTTTATTGTCTTGTTGTGTTTCTTTTTTATAATTTTTAGAAGTCCCGTCAAACGATGCCACTATACTCCTCTACGGTCCATCCGCCGCCTACTCTTTATTGTCATTGGGATTCTAAAAATCAAACGTAACTATCGTTGGAATTCATTTTTTATTTTCTTGTAGTCCCGCCAACCGTCGGCGGCTCTGCAACTACACTCCTATACATCCCGCCCACTGCTTCTCCTTGTCATTGAGATTTTAAAAATCGAATATAATTATCAATGGGGTTTACTTTCTTTGCTTTCTAGAAGTCGTAGAAACCGCCTTGCCCGTTAGCTTCACGGGCTTATCGTTTCTCCTTTTAATCGTCATTAAGATTCTATTTGGTGTTTTATTAACCTTTTTATATGTCGTATTAACCGCCACCACTCTACTCTTTTATAGGCGTGTTATTTAATTTATCTCGTCATGTGTTTTAGATGGTCTTTTTATTTCAATAGTCTTTATTTTTTATCACCAATTTTAGTTATTTATAAATTTTATTCCTAATTGAAATCTTTTTTTCTTTTTTTCTAATTTCAGAATTTATTTTTTATTTTTGAATTTAACTTGTTTCAAAATTTTATTCCTACTTGAACTCTTTTTTAGTTTTTCTAACTTTGAATATTATTTTATTTTTTATTCTGAATTTTAATTAATCTCGTATTGGGTTCTTATATAGATTCTTCTTTCAATATGGTTTTATTTTTAATTCCGAATTTCATTTAATTTTAAATTATATTCCTACTTGATCTCTTCTTTTCTTTTTGCTAATTTTGGATTTTATTTTTATTTTTATTCCGAATATTAATTAATATCGTATTGGGTTATTATATCGACTCTTCTCTTAATATCCCTTATTTTTAATTCCAAATTTCAGTTATTTTTAAATTGTATTCCTACTTGGACTCTTATTTTCTTTTGTAATTTTGGATTTTATTTTATTTTTATTCCGAATTTTGATCAATATTGGATTCTTATATGGACTCTTATCTCAATATTGATTAATTTTAATTCCGAATTTCAGTTATTTTTAAATTGTATTTCTACTTGGACTCTTCTTTTCTTTTTTTCCGATTAATGTGGGAATTTCTAGCCCCCACAGCGAACGTGGTGTCTTCTTTCAAAGTTGTTTTAATAATATACTCCCTCCATATTTTAATGTATGACGTCGTTGATTTTTTTTGTCCAACATTTGACCATTCGTCTTATTTAAAAAAATTATGTAATTATCATTTATTTTATTATGACTTGATTTGTCATCAAATGTTATTTAAGCATGACATAAATATTTTCATATTTGCACAAAAATTTTGAATAAAACGAATGGTTAAACGTTGGTCGAAAAGTCAACGGCGTCATACATTAAAATACGGAGAGAGTAATAGATATATGTGTCAAACATTTGATGCGATAAAGATGAAAAAACTTGTCAGGGTCTAAACAGGTCCCTAGTCCACTTGCGTTGCGTCGCGTCGGGTCCGCTCCTTTTCTTCCTCTCCTCCCATGGTCAACTGTGATGCTAGTATGGTACAGTACTATACATTGCTACTCGCGAGCGATGTGTGACTCGTGCGAACGAGACGGCAGGAGATGCACCGAACACGTACGCTTGCACCTTGCAGGGCCGCGACCGGTGCGGTGAAGATGGGACAACGAAATTGCGCCGCGCGCATCGGCTACTCGGCAGACGACGACCGGATAAGGAGAGCAACGGTGGTGGTGGCACTGTGCGGTGGCCGGTGTAGTCACTGAGAGGCGAAAGAGGAGGCCGGAAAGGGGCAGGGCGACGCGCACTCGGCGCCGCGTGACGGGGGCGCGGCGCGCACGCGCCGGCCTGCGCCGCGCCGCGCGCCGTGCCGAGCTGCCATGCGACGCTGGCCGGCACGGTGGAACAGCCGCGCCACCGCGGACACGCCAGCCAGGCACGATATTGGGCCTCAATTTCTTCTTTATCAACGACATCGGCCCAAATGGAGGTACAGTAATACGGTCCACAAAGCATAGTAAAGCTGCACGTGTTGTAGTACAGCTCGGCCTGCACCAGGGCTCGATGGAAGCCTGGAAGGAATAATAAGTTCAGTAGTTGTCCCTAATCTTTACGTTGAGCTTACTTGGTATCCTAAACTACAATATCATAAATCTTCAACCCCATCTTAACAAAACCATTCGAGTCAAGTGCCATGACAGTATAGATGGGTGGTTTTACTAACGTAGTAACGTGGCATCCTAGTTGAAAAAATAAAATAAAAACATGTGGGACCCACTTAAAGTGGCATACATCTTCTTCCTCCGCTCCTTTCTCTTCCACAATCTCTTTCGATCGAACGCAACATGCGTCACGAAGCACAATAGGTGAGCTCGTTGTCCGCTCGTCACACACCGACGGCCCCCTAGCGTGCGAAGCAAAGGGGCTTATGCTCGGTCCCTGATGGCGAAGATAGAGGTGATATGACCATCAGCAACCTCACAACGGTGCCTCTCCCTCAACGAGCTTGTCACCATTTCTACCATCGAGCACAATTTTTCTTGTAGAGAATAAAAAAGTGGGTGCTAACGGCTAACATGTGAATCCCACTTTTTTTTATATTCTTTTCCGGACTAGGGCGTCATGTCAATGAAACCATCCATCCGTACTATCATGAGATGACTTGAACAAATTTTATTAAGATAGGAGGTGATGATTCAACTATAGACTTAAACTTTGAGTTTATTTGCTGTGGCTGGGTGTTGGTACGTTGGTGTGTCATCTTTTTATTTATCTTTGTTTCTGTCTATTATATTTTTCTTATAAGATTGATCCAAGACCTAGGGCCGGTCCTATGATTTTGAGGGCCCTATGCGAACTCATCGCGATGGGCCCTCTAAGCTATGTATAAAATTCTATGATATATATAGACGCTAATTTTACTTGCAAAACAAAAACAAATACATCCATATATATATATATATATATATATATATATATATATATATATATATATTAAATTTAACATATATGGTAATTATCAAGAAATAAAGTCGACCAAAATAATAATATATTTGTAACTTGGAACTAATATCATTATTCATTAACTTAATAAAGAATAGAACCCCATCATATCCATTGCTTCTCATGAAAACGTACTTCTTCGGGCATTTCTTGATGCAAAATCATCAAGAACGATATTAAGAACAATAGTGTCCAAGATATCCTTCTCGATTGAGCACATAGCCAAGTCATTTAACCTTTCTTGCAACATAGTTGATCTCAAATAGTTCTTCAAAACTTCAATTTTGAGAAACTTCTTTTAGGTGAAGCTACCGTCACAGGTACAGATAAGAGTATTCGATAGGCAAAACATTTGGATAGAAATCTGCATCCATAACAAACTTTAGAATCTCAGGCACGGACATCGAAAAATCTGGCAAACTCACTTGCAACACCTTTAACTCTGAATAAAAATCGTTGATCTCAACATCGCATGAGGTACTAGACTACTAGTATTAGGTGTTGGCCCCCCATCATCATGGGCCCCCACCATCATGGGCCTCGGCGGTCGCCTCGGCTACATAGGGCCAGGGCCGGCCCTGCCAAGACCTATGTAATAAGTGGTTATAGTTTTAACTCAGTTGAAGCAAAGGCTGGGTTTATAACCATTATTAAAAAAGGGAGGTGGTGAAATATTATATTATATCATTTAGGTATATTAATTAAACTCAATGTAAAGAAGAGAGACAACTTGTGAACTTAGGGTTGGTTTGGTTTGTGGCCTAAATAGGCCTTACCAAATTTTGTCAATGCCAAATTTTGACATGATTAATTTTGGTAAGACAAAGTTGTGTTTGGATTGAAGCCAAAATAGTCTAAGTTCACTATTAAAATGATCTATTTTCTTAGGCATGTCAAATCTGGCTTCAACCAATAGACATTAAACACTATTAAAATTGTCAAATATTGGTAAATGTAATTTATGCCTCAACCAAACGAGCGCTTATTTCCTCGATGGAATTCGAATTTCGGAAGCCGAAGGCCCAGAAGACCGCAACATGCGGAGCACGTCTTGGGGTGGCCGGGTGGAGCGGGATGGAAGGGCCCCACTCGCAGTGTCACAAGGAGGACGCCGCCATTTCCTCCCCCACAAGAAAGGCCGAAAGCGAAAGCGGATCACAAGGGGGTAGCCCGTCACCATCAGCGCTCACGCCTCGCGCACCTGCGCTCTCCCTCCCCCTTCCCGGCCTAGGTGTCGGAAGCGCGGTGGGGAGGAAGCGAACGCGCCGCCGTCCGGGTCTCCTCCGCCTCCTCCTCCCGAGAATCGTAAGCTCCGGGCATCCTACTCCCCCTCCCGCTCCCAGTCCAGTGTCGCGTCCTAGCGGCGCTTTGCTGTGTTCGTTTGGTAGCTTCGATTCGCACGACGTGGTTCGCTGTACTGCTTCGAGATGCCGCGATCGCTCGCCCTGGAGATTTATCGCGGCTCCGGCGTATTCGTCTCGTGCGGGTTTTTGTGGCGCGGTGCTCTTCCGCTGGTTCGGTTCGGCGTCGCATCATTTCAAGGGTTTATGCTAGTGTAGCTTTCGGGAGGTGGGAGTGGTCGCCGCCGGTATTTCGATTTCTCTCTTCTTATTTGACGCCCAAATGTGCCCTGTTGCTTAACCTAGTTCTGATTGTGCTGACGAATTCTAACCCGTCGTGAGTGTGATTTTGGGGTTTTGGGTGCTAGTTGTCTCCTAAGATATTATAAGGAGATATCTCCGTTGTTTTGGTGTTATGGACTGCGGACTACTTGTTTTTAATGTTCGATTTCTAGAAGTTGGAACCCAATTAGTCGATGGAATTCACAGAATCTGGTATCGTGATTGAGATGCAAAATCGTGTTTATTTCATAAAGCAGATGGATCTGTTCATGGCTGCACTTTACTGTTCGATGTCTATAATCTGTGTAGCTAGATTTACCATTTATCACACAAGTTTAATCTAGTTGGCAGTACGGATCTGCAGTTTTGATTATAGTGGATTCGAATTTTTGTGCACTGTGAGTTTCATTTTGGTATTTGTACATCTACAATTAAGAGTTTCATGTAGTATGTCGTCATGTTGATCTACTGTTCTGCATGTTCAAAGTTTGAAGCTATCTCTAAGACATACTGTATTATGGTTCGTTATGCATTTCAACAGGCTTTTAACACTTCTATTACTGGGATGAATTTCATCTTAACTGAGCAATGTATGAAGCATTGACGCATGTATTAATGAAATTTCACGTTTTTCAGGACTTCTATTTTGCCTCTGCATCCAGGTTATTTAGAACTCTGTATTCAGGACTGCACAATGTCTATGATAGCAGCAACTCTTCGTCGATCGTCTAGAGTAACTGGTAGTCAGAATATCATGGAGATATGTCTTGGACCTTGTGTATCTTCTGGTGCTTCTTCAAGGTGGTTCAGCAGCTGTACTAAGCACTCAAACACTTCCATACTTAACCAGATCAAGGCAGTTGATCGGTATTCTCCAGTTAATGGTATGTCAATGATCAGTAGGGTGCCTCTTTCAGCTCATATGGACACAAACTGGTTGTCTACTTCAAATCCCAGATTTAATGCACTGCCAGGATTCTTAGGTGCTTCAAGCATCTGCCGAGCATACTCCTCAGACACTGGGATTAAGGCAGAAGTTCCACAGAATACTGTCTCAAATGTACCTTCCACAGAAACCGTTGCGCTTGGAACATCTGATGGTGGTAGTTCTTGGATTGATATCTTCGACAATGCTCGCAAGTGTACTCTAGATGCTACCACTGATGCAGGCAAGAAAGTTAAGGAGCTGACTGATGCAATTACACCTCATGTACAACAGTTCTTTGATGCAAATCCAAACCTAGAAAAGGTTGTGGTTCCACTTGGCGGGACAATCTTTGGTACAATGATGGCTTGGTTTGTCATGCCTATCGTTTTAAGGAGGATTCACAAGTATTCGATACAGAGTCCTATATCAGCACTTTTGGGGAGCTCAACAAAGAATGATGTCTCGTATGAAACTAGCCTCTGGAGTGCATTGGAGGATCCTGCGAAATACCTTATCACATTTATGGCATTTTCAGAAATGTAAGGCTTCTTTTTACTTTTTCTGGCAGATTTTATCGTTGTTGTGGATGGGGTGCAACACACTCTAGATTGATGATATTTCTTCAATATTTGCAAGAGATATATCCATCTTCGTATTGTTGAAATGTTCATTGTTCTGATGTTTTCTCTTCCTCAGGGCTGGATTCACCGCACCAAGCATATCAGCTTATCTTCCACAGGCATGGAGGGGTGCAATTGTTCTCTCTTTTGTCTGGTTCCTTCATAGGTGGAAAACAAACTTCATCACTAAAGTTGCTGCCTCAAGTATTGATCAAACCAGGTTGTCAGCATTTGATAAGATCTCGTCATTAGGACTGATTGCACTTGGAGTAATGGCTCTTGCAGAGGCTTGTGGTGTAGCTGCTCAGTCAATACTAACTGTTGGTGGTGTGGGAGGTAATGTTATATTCCCTTCAGTCATAAATATTTGACGTTTAGATCAATATTACATTAATTTAAAATTTAATAAGTTTATGATATCAGGATAGTACTTTTCAACTTTCAAGGAAAATTTTATCATTACATTCCTTTTGTCTTTGAACTAATCATATGATTTTTTATGGTCAAAATTTAAAAAATTAGACCAAATTTCATCCTAAACGTCTAATATTTATGATCAGAGGGAGTAACTGTTTTGAGTAATAACATGCTATACCACATTTAAATAAAAAATGTAACTATGGTTTCTTCCAGGGCTTATAACCTCAGAATACATGAACTGAAAAAGCTCAATACAGTAATACTATAATTATTTAGGGGGATAATTTGTAGCTCTTGAGTCTTGACTGCAGTAGATGAGACTTCTAACTAAACTGGAATTCTGGATTGTTCCTCCATAATGCAGGTGTTGCTACTGCCTTTGCTGCTCGGGATGTCCTTGGTAACATGCTCAGTGGGTTCTCCTTACAGTTTTCTAGTCCATTCAAAGCTGGAGAATACATAAAGGTGCCTTCTTATATATGTGGTCACTTTTTCTGTATATTCAGGGGGCTGTATGTATAAACTGTTCATTTGCTATTCATAGTATATGTTGATATGCAGGTGTTTGGCTTAGTTACTGCCTTTAGATTCTCAAGCAATTTTCCTAGTATTGCTTCAACCTACAAGGGATACATACTGTTGTTAGAGCTTGATGTAAAGAAAAAAATATCGGTTTTTACAGAGCTGAAGGATAGCAAATATTGAAGTGTCTAAACTGTGTGTTAGGAACAAGTTTCCAGGAAAGGGTTAAGTATTGTTTTAGAGGCTGTAAGAGGGTATAAAAAAATTAGATGGACATGGGCGACAGTTTTGAGCATCACATGTATACTACATGCTTCCTAAGTTGCTATGATTATCACTAGAAATGTTTCTCGCGGTACTTGTGCTTTCAGCACTTGATAACACTAATGCTATAAACGTTTTCCCCCACCTTAATAAACTCTGGCCGACTTTCTGTTGCCAGCCCGGCGAAAAATAACACTAATGCAATGCATTTCTCCAAGGAATAAGCATGCGGTCCATTTTCAGTAATAAGGTGGGAGAATTTAGGAAGAATGACAGGTTCTGTTTTAAGTGACTGGGATCTTACCTTGTTTCTCTAAAAGAATATTGCATTTCAAATTGACAACTGTGGCTGGCCAAATACTGTTTTAATCTTTTGTAATTGTTGATTTTCTATAAATTATACTTGTGGACTCCCAGCAACTGAAGGATTTTTGTTGTAGGCTGGGTCAATAGAAGGCAAGGTGATTGAAATAGGACTGACTTCTACGGAATTGATGAATCCAGAACAACTTCCTGTCACTGTACCCAACTCTCTGTTCTCCAGCCAGGTATCCTATGGCTTGCATTACTGGAAACCTTTTGAATCACATATTTGCATGTACATAGGAGTGACATGTAATATGCTTTTCTGAACCACCTTGACATTTCATTTTGTTTGTCCTATCCTTACTGTTTTGGTGTGCGCGCGCGCACGCACACACACAAAACGAATGTTTTCCAGGCAGTAACTATAGTAATGTCCTGTAATTTTATTGGAGATTGATTCTTCAAGGAACCTAGGCACTTTTGATATTTAGAAGTTTTATCATAGTATGATGCAATTTAACCTGAAAGCAGATTTCACTACTCTGGAGTAAATGATAAGCAAAATACCTAGGAGGCTAGGACAAGTGAAAACGAGATGAAATCTACTACTTCCTCCGTCCCAAAATATAACAACTTTTAGCCCTCAAGATTTGTCCCAAAATATAACAACTTCTCCACCAACATTCTCTTCCTAACCAATCACAACTTTCCACCATTCACTTTTCCCACCTACCACCACTACTTAACCAATCACAACCCTCCACCATTTACTTCTACCTACTTTCTTAATAACTGTGTCCAACTATAAAAATGCTTATATTCTGGGACGGAGGGAGTAACATTTTCAATGGTTTGCACTATGCACCGTGAACCATGGTTCACAAATCACAATTTGTAGATTCGTTAGCTGATACAGGGGTCTTTTACTGCCAAAGATCATCATCATTCGTTTTATCACTAAAATATGAAACTTATACCTTGTTCAAATTTTAAATTTTAGTCTCAGTTGGGATGGATTAAAATAAATAATCTTTGGAGCATTTAAATCACTTGAAACTTGGAATGATGTTTTTCTATTTAAATTTTGGAGGACAGAAAGCCCTCAATGCTTTGTTGCGTTAGTTAACTAAAATATTACTAAAAAGATGCTGATTGTTCTGTATTTCAAGAATAAGCCTGTGAGGATTTATTCAGCGAGTTTCCCTGCATTTCTGTTTTCTGGCCTTCTCGGTAGGGTTAGCAGAAGCGTACCCTGTATCCTGATATTACTAATAACTTGCAGGTGATAGTGAACAGATCACGAGCTAAATGGCGATCCAATGTGACAAAGATTCCTATTAGAATTGAGGATATTGAAAAGGTTCCTGCCATATCAGAGGAGATAAAAGTTATGTTAAGGTCCAACCCAAAGGTTGTCTTAGACTCAGAAGCACCAGCTCCTTATTGTTATCTTTCAAGATTGGAAAGTTCATATGGAGAGCTCACCATTGGATGCAACCTCACGAAAATGGTACATTAGCTCTGTTTGTTTTACAGTTATGATATGTCATGTATTTTGATAATCCATTTGTAGCTATATGTTACACATTTTGTTGCTTTTTGGCATGTTTTGGATAACAATGTGTCTTCAGCATAACTTTTGGTCTGTACTTACCAACATCACAGCGTCATGTTTGGTCCATCCAAATTGGTAGTCGTCTGTTGCTGTTCTAGAGATAGGGCTGCAATAAAATTGAGGTTACCTAAATGTGATAATTCCATCGGAATCAACACCTTTAGCATACCATAAATTGATGGTGTTCTTATTCTTACAGGATTTACGTCCATTGTGTAATGTTGAGTCCGTTCAACTTATGAGAACTTGTTTACTAAGTAGGAGAGCAGCCAAAATTACCTATCGCTGACTCTCTATGATTCGTCATAATTCTTTGTGTATTACAGACAAAGGATGAGTGGCTGTCTACAACACAAGGCATTCTTCTGGAGGCTGCTAAGATTATCAAGTTACATGGCGTTGAACTGGGAAGCACCACGCAGTGCTGCTGATTACGGTGCTTTTGGAAGTTCTAAGTAGGTAAGTGCAATTAATTTAGCTGTTGGGCCATGCAGATAATACTTTCCAAAACACAGTTCCGGCTGTTATAAGTTCACATCGAAACTGCTACTATGTTAAAAACACGTAGTTGTTCCCACTGTAGTTGTTCCACTTCTGTTCCCACATTACGTTCTTCCATTCCATTTGTCATTTAGCATCCGGCAGTTTCAAAACGAGTTTTTACATTTGAGTGCATATTTGTTCCCAAGTTTGCTTATTGTCATATCTTCTTTCTCTGTCTACTCCAGACTATTAGATGGTATTTGCATGTCAAGACATGTGTCATTTTCTTCGGTATGTTGATGCATGGGCTACCCTTAATAAGCTTATAACTAATAGTGTATTGTGGCAAACGGGGTTAGATGAAGATTTTCCCACTAAATGTGTAGATAAAAAACGTTCCACTGCATATATTCAGCCATACTTTGTGAGAACCGCTACACCTGCTTAAAAAATTCTTACAAACAAAACTCCTACCCGTTACATCAGCGTTTGTATGAGTTTTGTAAGAGTAACCTTTCCTTGATATATTTGTTACAGTTTTGAGTATATCTTCAGTTTTGTAAATTTGCAGGTGAATTACGTTAGTCACACTCAACAGAAGTACATAGGTTGGTGGCTTTGGAACACTTCTAGTGCGAAGGCAAGGACGTCCTTTAGTCTTTTTGGTATCTTCAGATTTCAGACCCTCGACTCCATTGCTTTCTGTTAACCGCGTTTTTTTTAGCTAAGGTCAATTTCCAACTCTCTTTAACTTTCCCTTCGCTTGATATATCATCCGCTAATAGCCTAACAGAGAGAAGCACTGCCAATGAGCCACGGTAAACATTTTGGTCCGCATGCTGATAATGTGAGCGGGTAGTTTACCCCTGTTTCAATGCATGCATCTCTCGTATCCGTATCCATACCATGCTCGTATGCTAGTCTGCCCCACCATTTGGCCCCACTGGCCTAAGCACCAATATTACAGTATCCCGTTTCTCCTTGGAACTCTAAAATGCAGGAGCCTATACGTGTGTGCCGGTCTTCTTGTTTTTGTTTTGCACACATCAATAGGTATGGTGACATTGTCCCAATAAGTGTGTCGGGACGTAGGACACGTCGCCGGTGGAAGCAGGATCTTACAGCAAAGACGAGCACAAGCGACGTCGGTGATCCTGCTTTCATGTGCGCACAACGGTACAACACTCCTAATATTCGCACTATCCATGTTAAAAAAAAAACACTAGATAGGCAAAGCCTTTTGCTTTCATGTCTATGTTTAGGTTAGAATCTTGCCTAAAAAAGTGTTTCGGTTAGAACGGAAGTTCCAAGTGATCGCAGTTGGATATGCATTTTTTTCTCTTGCCATGTGCATGCTGGGAAATGTTGGCAAATGTTTTGTGTCTGAAAGCATGGGAGTAGCTGCTTTGCCATTTGCTTGGACAGTGAGTCTGTCATGACACTGACCTGAGCGCGGGGAGCAGATCGTTGCGCCGCGGCGTGTGACGATGCCACCAGTTATACACTCCTAATCAACCAACCATTTATTGTCTGTGACTAGAGCAATCAATGAACATCAACGGCACCCCAGTTATGAGTTGTAGTACACCGAGAGCAAGGGACCGGTGAATCCGGTCGTCGTTTTTGCCAGAAAACAAAGGAACGCCGCACGCCGTGGCTGCCGTGCGGCGCGCGCCCGGCATACAGAGAAAACGAAGGGGGAAATGTATTGCCGCGGGTAAGATTTCACGAGTAGACCATGCCCCCAGAACAGAGGTGAGACCCTCGTTTCCGTTTCCATCCCACGACGCGTGGCGACTGTTGTCTGCTGTCCTGCGCCGTGGTCACATGGAGCTCGTAAATCGTAATGCTAGGCCGCGCTTTCACAAGGTCCAAGTTGCAGCCCCACAGTTTACAGCACTACTGCAAGTCTGCAACTGCAGCACAAAGTCTACTATACACAGCAGAAGCACGCTGAGCATCCACTAGTGCACTCTTCTGTGCCCCGCCTCCGTCACTGTAGACCGGACCGGAGTAGCCATGGCCCGTAGCCGTGGGGGCAGCAAATGTATAGTGGAAAAGGTCCGGCCAAAATTTCGAGTTCTTTGTAGTTGGTGACTCGTGAGGCGAAAAGAAGACGCGGCAGGAGATGACAAGTTTGTAATCTTCCGAGAAGAATACAAGAACAGAAGAGAAAAAAAATTGAATCATCCTATTTCACTTTGGCTAGGTTACAGTATTACACAACTTGGCTGAACTCGCCATCCCTGCATACTCCCACGTCGATGGTCATCGTCTTGTCCCCTCCCTTCTTCCCTTCCTTGGGCGAAGATAGCACCCTACAGCAATTTCTCCTTGGAGACTGCATGACCATGTGAAATGTGCATCGTCAGTACAGTTTGAACTTTGAACACCACAACCAAGATCAAGAAACTAAGCTTCAGATGGCAATTTGCATATAACATTCCTGCTAGTTGTCAAACAAACCTAGTACTATTACACGTACAGTACCCATGCTAGTTTCGTCGTATTATACTCAAACAATGTTCAATCTTGGTGTTATAATACTTGCACAAGTACTATTTGCAGTAATGCAGTTCATTTTACGTTTTTGTTTCTTGCTAGCTAAAAAGGGGATGGATCATGTTCAGTAATAGCATTTGCTGTATCAAGTGTGATGGCTAGCAGTAAGCAACAGAAGACGAATTTTTTTGTTGCAACAGAAGATGGATTGGCAGAGAAGAATTACCCTGTCCCATAGCCCGGGGTCGGGCTTCTTGAGCACGACGATGTGATCGAGATGCGCGTCCGGATCCGCGATATTCCACCGGCACGCGGGCCGCGTCTCGTTGGCGCGGCGCCACCGCTCATACCGCGTCACCGTGGTGTCCCCGCCGCGCAGGGCGGCCGCGCGCCGCGCCGATGAGAGGTAGTACACCGCCGGCTTCTGGCACGGGCTTCGCGCCAGGGGCCTCGTGTTGAACGCGTACGCCGTGTAGTCGGCACGGCGGTACCAGTTCAAGAACGTCCGCGCCGGCATCTCCATCTCCCGCGGCGACATTACTCCCCTGGACACCAGCACGGCGAACCCCCACGCCACTGACACCGTCCATCGGTTGCCGCCGTCGTAGCAGATGGACTGCTGCATTATCCCCGCCGGGTCCAGCTCGATCGGCCCGTCGAACAGCCTACGCACCGCGGCGGGGCGCGACTTGGCGTTCGGGAACAGGGGCTGCACGACGTCGAGGTGGTGCAGCGTCACGATCGGCGCCACCGGGTGGGCGGCGAGGAGGCCGAGGAGGTCGCCGTACACGTCGTACTGGTGGAAACCCGGGTGCTTGGTGAGCGGCACGCCCAGCTCCGCCATGCACGCCTGGATCCGGTCGTCGCTACCATACAGCGCGGGGTACCGGCGTATGCACCCGTCCTGCATCCGCGCGAGCGCCTCCGCGAGCGGCCGGCTAATGGCGAAGCCGCCGCCGCCGTACGCCATCCCGTAGGAGAAGTAGATATTCTGCAGGTGGCTCTCGGAGAGGGAGCCGATGTAGTATGGCTGGCGGTGGTCGAACTTGTTGAGGACGGTGAGGAGGTTGTCCGGGAAGAAGACGGTGTCGTCGTCGCCCATCACGAACCACCGCACGCCGGGGAGGCCGAGGCGGAAGGTCTCCGAGACGATCCGGGAGATGCGGATGGCGGAGCGGTGGCCGCGGCGGTGCGTGTAGGGGAAGCCCGAGGTGTCCGACGAGATCCTGATGGCCGGGAGCCCCGTCCGCGCCGTGGACATGTTGGACTCGCGCACCTCGCGGTCCAGCCACACGTACCCACGCATGGCGCCGCGGGGCCGCCACCACACCTTGATGTACTCCTTCCGCTTGTCCCAGAACCGCGACGACGCCGCGATGCCGAACACGACATGCTGCAGCGTCGTCTCCGTGGAGGCCGCGGCGGGGGCCTTCTTCCCTGCCGCCACCGTCACCGCAGCAGCACCCGCGCTGGTGCCATTGGTCGACAAGCGCACGGAGGAGGAGGAGGAGGCAGCGTCAGGTGGGCAGGAGGAGGAGGATGACGAGGCGGCGGAGGCGAGGAGGAGGTGCAGCGTGTAGAAGAAATAGAGGGCGGTGAGGGGGAGAAGGAGCAGGAGGAGGAACCGGAGGATGGAGGCGGTGACGGCCTCCTTGCCGCCACCGCCGCCGCCCTTCATTCCGGCCGCCGTGGCCGCTCTGCTCGTCACCGCCCCTCCGTGGCCTCCGGCTTATCCGGCCAATCTTCCTTCCGCCTCTTGGGGAACCGAAGGGAAAATCCCACCAATAGATTTACACGGGCGGCGTGGCGCGCGAGGTTGCGCGCATTCTCCTTCTCCGCGTGTTTGCTAAAGCGTTCGGCCTCGTCTTGCTCCGTTTCCCTCTTCCCTCTTCCTTCTCTCGACCTCTCCTCCGTTCGGCGAGTTGGGGTTTGGGTGGTCGGGTGGCTCGGCGGAGGGGAGGGCCGCGGTTTTGGCCTTTTTGGGTTCGCTTTTTCCCCTTTTTTATTTTCGCGTGCCGGTGCTTGTGCGGGTAATGGCGGATCGTTTAATTAATGCGGCTGCTGCTGCGGATTTGCTGCTAACGACGTCGGTTCCTGTCAAAATCGATTCATACTCCCTCGAAAAAAATTCGTTGCGTATACTTAATTCTTTTCGAAATATAGCCACCGGATAATGATATTAACGAATTTAGATAGATCTTCTATAGATAAGAGAAAGTTTAATAGTATAGCCCAAGTTTAATAGTATAGCCCACTACTAACTCTAATTCATCTATAGCCAATCTAATAGCCAATTCATACAATAGTTGCTTACAATACTATTAATATCTAGTTCCACCTATCATACACACATTACGTCTTGGAGTCCGTGCTGTAGCTGGCTATAGATTTGTAGCCCGCTGCCCTTCTCTCTCATCCTTTATCTCATTAAAATATATTTACGGATGGCTAATAGCTGCTATTGTACCTGCTCTAAGGAGATTTTTTTTATTAACATAAAAGGTGTTTAGACTAGCTAGTTATGCACCCGCCAGTGCATGCTAGAGGTCATAACTCAAGGTTAATGTTAGGAGCCGAAAGCAATCCAATATGTGATGTGTTTCCAGCCAGCAATCCGTTGAAGGGGATATGACAAACAAACCATAATATGACCAAACTCAGCGCTGAACTAAAAGAAAAAATGGCTAGTCCCTGCACATATCATAAAACATTAATACTCTAATTTTTAATATAGGCTAAAACAACTAAGGATCGAAATTCGAAAAAAAAATGAAAAAATATATATTTTTTTCAATATTTTGTGTTTATATACATGCATGGAAAACATTTACACAAATATACCTCCTCCGCACAACACGCGGGACCGAGGCGATATCGCTCTTCCATTCCGCAGGACCGGTGGTCGCGTAGGACGGACGTGCGACACCGCCTCGCTCCCGCAGCCCGGGAGAGCAGCAGCGTGGTGGAGGGCGGTCGTACGCGGTCCCAAGGCCGTCGCGCGGCGCCATGGCGCGGGACCGCAGCGGTCGTGCGGCGCCGCCGCGAGGGACCACGCCGGTCGCACTGGGAGCTTTCTAGGTGAACCAGGGATGGGTAAGACGGGAGGATCTCACCGATGCGCATAGGGGGACCTTGCTATCACTTAGAACGCGTGTCGACGAGTTTCGCTTTGGCTTCTCTGCGCGAGCACGACGACCGACCTAGGGCTTGAGCTCAATGAGGCCTAGTGGTGGCATGGTGGGACAAAAGAGGCGAGGATCAATCAGGAACTGGTGGTGGCATGATTAGCATGAGGTGGTGTAGTTCCATTAGAATTGCTAGCTAAAAAAATTTATGTGGTTTAACGCTAGTCAATAATAAAGGGGAGTTGGGGATTTGTCCCATCACCTTATTTCTCATTATGATTTACTTTTACCTTACCTTTTTATTACTATTAAACTTATGGCTGTGTCTTATGACAGAAGCCGGAGATGTAATCCATTTCCATTATCTAAAAGGGAAAAGTCCATTTTACACCCTCGAATTCTTATGCTTGTCTAAAATACACCCCCGAACTACAAAACCGGATATAACACACCCTCGAACTATCAATACCAGACACTAACCCCCCCGGGCTGTTTTTACCCTGGTTTTTGCCACGTCGGATGCCACGGCGGATGCCACGTCAACCCTAGCCCACGTCTCCCCCCCTCTCTCTCTCTCTCCCTCCCTGCCCTCTTCGTTCTCCTCTCTCTCACGACCATTAGCGGCGGCGGCGCGGAGCTGCAAAATCAACGGCTACGGCGGTGGCGTAGAGCTGCAAGTGCGGCGGCGGCTGCGTAAGATCCAGGTCAGCGGCGGCGTGGAGCCGTGAGGTCGGCGTCGGCGTGGAGTTGCGAGGGCGGTGGCGGCGGGGAGCTGGTGAGAGGGCGGCGGCGCTGCCTCGGTTGCGCGGACGGTTGCCGGCGGAAGCCTCTGCGCGCAGTCACCAGCGGTAGGTTCGGGCGTCGTCGCCGCACGCGCCTTTGGATATGGCTCAGCAGGGAAGAACCAGCTCGACGCGTGGTGGAAGCAACGACGAGTTAGTGGACTGTTCTGCCGACGGAACAAGTAGATGGAGGGGCACGAGCAGCTCTGGAAATGGCAGCAGATCAAGTCAAGGCAGAAGCAATCCACCTCCGATTCGATATAGGGAGGGTCAATTTGATTATTATCCAGCTGTTCTTTGCGATTGTCGAAGGAAGGCAGCAAGATGGATTTCTTGGAGTGAGGATAATCCATCTCGGAGGTATCTGACATGTGCAAGAGCTCGGGTGAGTTGGTAAAATATTAGTGTAATGCATTTGTTGTTTAAATAGAAGTAATATTGTTCCATTTTTCTTGTATATTGAGCAGGATGGTGGCTGCACTTTCTGGAGTTGGTATGAGCCAGAAACTACACCTTATTTGAGGCAAGTGTTAAATGATTTGCACAATGTTGTTCGTGGTTTGAAGGAGGAGAAATCAATTCTGAGAGCATCTCTTGTGAGTGCAAGAGCACAAATTGATGAGCTGACGGCTGTGCACAATGGAGATGTGGCTGATTGGACAAGAAAGCTAAAGGAGAAGGATGATTTAGCTTGTGAACTTAGAGCTAGAGTTGTTCAGTTAGAAGAGGGAAGGAAACTTCTGTTGCTAATTGTTGCTGGACTAGTATTGCTGATAGTTGCATTATGGCTTAGGGGATAGGCATGGTTATGTTATCAGTCAAGTTTTAGATTCAGTGGTAGTCAGATTCAGTGGTAGCTCCTCATGTATGCAATCTGTATGTATGCTATGTATGGGATGGCAATGAAATGAAATTAAGTTATTTTCTCAATTGATCTGTTTGTCAACATGTATTTGGCTAGTATGAGCAACAGTGAAATAGTTCCAGGAGTTTGATATGTGTAAAATTTGTGTGAAATCTGTCTACAAATTAACAGAAGTTAAATGTGGCATTTATAGCACAGCAAGCCAATGAACCAAACTAATATGTTGGCATTTAGAACATAGTAAGCCAATATTTGGCATCATAACTGACAATAGGCATGTGTTTTAGCTTAATAACTGACATTATGCCTTAAGTTTGGCATCATAACTAACAATAAGCCACAAGTTTGGCATCACAAAGTACAGGCATAAGTTTGGCAATACATAATAAGAGCTAATTGGTAGCAATGGCTTTACTACTCATTGCCATCAGATCTTGGGGGTGATAGTAGAAGTTGTGGTAGCCTTCTCTTTCTTTGTGGTGAATTGCTTCTAGGAGCTGGTTCATGAGTTTGCACATGAGCACTTGCAGTTCCAGAAGTCACGGTAATGGTCACATTTGATGAGGCATGTGCTGATCGTCCATGAGCATGCAGGTTCATTGTTGCTGTTCCCCCTAGAATTGTTGCCACCCTTGCAGTGGCAGAAGTCCTTATCACTCTCCTCTTACCGATGTCAAGCTACAAGAGAAGAGTAAAATGTTAGTATGCACAAATTCAGGTCTCAGATTTAGATGATGTAATTAACCTACATTGACTGTATCCTGTGAAGACTTCCTAGATTGTAAACCAAGACCAGTGCATGTTCTCTTTGCCTTCTCTGTAGAAATTGCTCTAGCTGATGCATTTGCCTTCCTTTTGTGGCAACTAGTGGAGCTCTGTTGTGATCCAGGTACAGCTAGCTGTTGGTTTACATGAAAAAGAAAAGACAGTTAAAGTTTCATTACATTTTAAGGAGAAACAATGCAATGTATAAATAGAGGGCATACAATAGCTTTTGTTGGAGGACCACTAGCATTTCGTGCAGATTGAACTCCCTGCCTGGAATCACAAGTCGACTTGTTATGACCTACCCCTTTGCACTTACTGCACCTTATTATAGTGCCCAATTTGCATGTTTTAGTTGTCTTGCACTTCTCAGTTATTTCTCTTTTCCTCTCCTTTTTAGGTCGTCCAGGCATCCTCACATATCTGGGAGCTAATGGTTTTGGTCTCTGAGATATTGGCCAAGCATCAATGCCCTCCACAGGTTTGAGGCAATGCTGATATGTGCTCTTGAAGTGATCCACATTATAGCAACTTGCAATGAAAGAATCCAGACTAGGAGACTTGTAATATATGCATGATATGGCATGTGCACAAGGAAGTCCTGACAATTGCCAGTATCTGCAAGAACATGTTTTGGTGGACAGATTTACTGTGAACCTACTAGTCTGTGTCTTTACCTCAAAGCTATCATCCCCATTGTAAATAGGATGGCAAAAGGCTGACTCTGTAATATAACTCTTCAATCTCTTGTATATGTTTGGACAGATTAGAGTATTCCACTTAGCAGCCTTGTCTCTATTCTCTTGTATTCTGACCATAACTTTGCATCTAATGGCCTCAAGCATGCTAATGATTGGTAAATATCTGGCTTGCACAATCCACTTATTGAACGATTCGCACATGTTGTTGTCAACTGAATCACAATCAGATCCTATCTTGAACCATGCCCTGCTCTAGTGATGAGGGTCTGTATCCATAATTGCCCTAGCTCCATCCACAGTACACTGAGCAAGTTGGGCCTTTGCTAGATTGAAAAGAATGGAGTTTGGAGCTTTGGCACACCTCCAAATTTCTTTTGCCACTCTTTGTTCCTGAATTTCTTTTTCCAATTGGCATAGATATGTCTTGCGCAGTTTCTATGTTCAACTAAGGGTGCCCAATGGTGGACTGCATTCAGAATACCCTACAATGTGAAAAATAGACAATCAATCAGTACATGGTTAAATTGATGGTCAGCTAAATTCTTACAATGAATTAAATAGCTCACCTTCTGCTGGTCAGATATGAACACCCATCCTTCACCAGAACCAACTTTCAAATCTCTGAAGAGGAGGCTACAAAACCAGTCCCAAGAGTCGTTATTCTCTTTCTCAACAACTGCCCATGCAATAGGGTACATTTGGTTATTTGCATCTCTACCAAT